TTTTTTTTTATTGCAGTAACATTGGTTTATAACATTGCAAAAATTTCAGGTGTACATCATTGTACTTCTATTTCTGCATGGACTACATCATGTTCAAAAAAACCTACAAAATAGGAGAAAACATTTGTAAATTATACGGCTGATAAGGGACTTGTATCCAGACTATATAAAGAACTACTACAACGAAACTACATAAACACAAACAATCCAATTAAAAAATGGGCAAAGAACTTGAATAGACATTACTCCAAAGAAGATAAGCAAATGGTCAATAAGCATATGAAAAAAAATGCTCAACACCATTAGTCATTAGGGAAATGCAAATCAAAACCACAATGAGATACCACTTCACACCTACTAGGATACCTACTAAAAAAATGGAAAATAACAAATGTTAGCGATGATGTGGATAAATTGGAACCCTTGTAATTTGCTGGTAGGAATGTAAAATAGTGCAGCTGCTGTGGAAAACAGTTTGGCAGTTCCTCAAAAGGCTAAACATAGAATTACCATATGACCCAGCAATTCTAATTCTAGGTATATATTCAAAAGAATTGAAAGCAGGGACCCGAACAGATACTCGCACATCAATGTTCATTGCAGTATTATTCATAATAGCCAAAAGGTGGAAACAACTCAAGTGTCCATCAATAGACGAATAGCTAAACAAAATGTGCTGTGTACACACACACACACACACACACACACAGAGTGGAATATTACTCAGCTATAAAAAGGAACAAAGTTCTGATATGTGCTGCAATATGGATCAACTTTGAAAACATTATGCTAAGCGAAATAAACTAGACTCAAAAGGACAAATATTGTATGATTCCACTTATAAGACATATTTAGAATAGGCGTATTCATGGAGAAAGTAGACTGGATTACCAGGGGCTGGAGGGAGTAGGGGAATGGGGAGTTATTGCTTAATGGTTATATAGTTTCTCTTTTGGGTAATGAAAAAGTTTTGGAAATAGATAGTAGTGATGGCTGCACAACATTGTGAATACAATTAATGTCACTGAATTGTACACTTAAAAATCATTAAAATGGCAACTTTCATGTTACATATATTTTATCACAATAAAAAGTACTTAAAACATGTTGAAAGTGATGAACCATGAATGCTTAGTTGGGTAGGGAATGAAGAAAAGGCAGGAGATGGCCAACACAAAGTGAAAAAACAGAAGAGGTAAGGGATAGGTGTGTCTAATAACACTCAAATTTAAATTTGAAATGGGCAATGGACTTTACTAGAAGCGTGTGGGGGCACAGAATAACAAAATGGTTACACATGCTAGCTCCAGACTCAGACTGCCGAGGTTTGAATCTCAGCTCTACTACTAACCAACTCAATAAGCTTGGCCAAGTTATTTAACCAATCAGCTTTCTCACATATAAAATGTGGATAATGGTACCTACTCCATAGGGATGCTTTAGGATTTAAATGAGTTAATACAAGTAAAGCACATAGAATGGTATCTGGTACATAGTAAACACTTAATAAATGTATAAATGTTAATAATTATTATTACTATACACAATAAAATGTTCAGGCTTTGAAGTCAAATACTCTCAAAGCCCAAGCTTCCCCTTCTATGCTGTCCCTAAATACAAGCTCCAACTTACTAATAAGACACCAAGGGATGGTATAAAGACAAATGATAAAATACAGGAGTAAATAAAAAAAAATCTGGAAATGCAGAGGGAGCTATTAACTCCAACATGGGGACAGGAAAGATAAAGGTGTGAGGAAAGACTTCAAAAAGACCTGGCATTTGAGCTGAGCCCAAAAGGATGAATAGTTTTTCTATAGGCAGGAAAAGGATTGTAAAGGCATTGCAGGATGAATGAACAGCATGAGAAAATGCACAAAAATAAGGAAGTGCATAAAATAGTCAGGAAAAAACAAATACCCCAGCATAACTTGAACGTAGGTTACATGGTGGGATACAATGGGAGAAATGTAAAGATGCTGAAGGATACAGAGCCTTGAAAGCCTTGCTAGGGAATCTGGTGATATTTTATAGATGAATTCCCACTGAAAGTTCCTCTTTTCAAATTGAAGGCATGGTAGGGTCAGTGGGTGCTAACGGTTCAGCTGTGCTGTAGGAAGATTACTTGTTTTACTTCATGACAGGAAAGATGAGAAATCCACACCGATTTTTAGCCCCAGGCAGCAACGTTTTAAGACAAGAAACATCTAGATCAGCCCTGATACTACATGGGCTTGTCTGATTTCAAGCACACCCCAGGAATAATTTGGGAAATGACTCTGTCTCCCATAATTCCCACCCAAGGAGAGACCATCAGCTTCTTGCTTTGACACAAATACCTACATACTCCACACTCACTCTTCTCTTTAGCTGACGGAAAATTCCATAGCCATCAACTGATTAACTGTGTGGTTCACAGGGCATTTGAGACACAGAATATTTCCAAAGGGTCTGGTCCAATCGTGTTGTGATGATCCCCAATTCTGAAAGCAGTACGCACAGCTAGAATTCCAGGCTATGGGAGTTCTGCGGATTAAAAAAATAAGTCATAAAGAACTTCAAAAATCATCTAAGTTGTAATTTCATGTTGCGAAAAGCCTACCTGCTTTTTTTTACCCTTAATACACAAGTGTGGCTGATCGTCCTTCATTTCAACTCCTAGATGTATGAAAGATAGGTTCAGATATGGCCTTAATAGAAATTAAATTAGGGATGGCTGTTAAAACCAGGGGTACATGATACCTTGTTGAGATTTTTCAGTTTAGGCCTTCCCCCAAACACATAAAAAGTTAGGAGAGGGCCGGCCCCGTGGCTCAGTGGTTAAGTGCGCGTGCTCCGCTACTGATGGCCCGGGTTTGGATCCCAGGCACGCACCGACGCACCGCTTCTCTGGCCATGCTGAGGCCGTGTCCCACATACAGCAACTAGAAGCATGTGCAACTATGACATACAACTATCTACTGGGGCTTTGGGGAAAAAAAAGGAGGAGGATGGGCAATAGATGTTAGCTTAGAGCCCGTCTTCCTCAGCAAAAAGAGGAGGATTAGCATGGATGTTAGCTCAGGGCTGATCTTCCTCACAAAAAAAAAAAAAGTTAGGAGAGAGGAAGTTAAATAGAAAGACCAGTATTTGTACACTGATTCTAATATCTATATTTCCCAATTCCGGGCAGTAAAAGAAAGAGGATAATAACAGCAAAGGAGGTGGAGGGTAGGAGATGCAGAGGTGACCCCAGATTCCAATCTATACTCTGGCATTCTATGCCACAAATCCACAACCAGAACCTAGCTTTTGTTAAGTATAAACAGGAGGAGCTGAGATAGTATAAACCACATGGCTTTAGTTCTGTAAACTGTATAAATAAATAGATAGGATAGTGGGATTAGGGGAATTCTTTCCAAACCACACACTCCTAAAGAACTTTGGTATCCTGTGGCTGTCTCTTAGAGCTGAGCTCTGACCAAAAGGGATCAGCACAAACAAGGGGCTGCCACCAAGGATAGGTGGCACCCATCCTTTGGACATCAAGCCCAAAGCATTGTCCAGAAAACAAAAGCAAGTATGAGAGTAAACAGTCACCAAGGCAGGACAAATGAGACTATCCATGAAGCAGTTTCTGTAGCTGGCGCCCAGAAAGATCCTCCTCTGAGGCCCAGGTCTATGGGGAGGGAGCCTCACATAAAGAAGTAAACCTGGTACCCCATCTACTCCGGATGTTGAGGGCACAGTAGGGCTGGGTCCTTACAGAACCACACTTCCATGGCTTTGCTTAATAGGGATGAGAACCAGGAATCCTCTTAGGGGTTACAATGCTTCAAGGTATCCCGATGAGACATCCTATGTGAAAGGCTGAGCACGAGTTCTGGAACTCAGACTGGAATGAAAGCTTGTGTGTTCTCTTACTCCTAAATCTGTGTCCTCACCCCTTTCCCCAGATCTGCCCAGATGTCAGCTAGTAGCACAGTCTTGTCTTCTCGTGTACAGAATGATTCTACTCCTTGAACATGTTGAAACTAAAGGATCTGTCAATGTGAACTTGTTTTGTTTGTATCCCGCCCCCAGACAGACAGTGCTCTTTATCATCTTTGTGTTATTTGTGTTTTATCCTTCTGACTAAACTTCAACTGAAGAACTAGGACAATGTTTTCACCAATTTTAGCATGCAACTTTATTAACATGTAAATGAAGTCTCAAATGAATACACTTATGTCAACATAAAGCACAGAAACATAGTTTACTCAGGATGAATAGGTTCATTATTAGGTCATGTTGTAGAAATACTAAAAATATCTCCATTTATATAGCACAAGAAATATCAACAAATATTCAAGCTCTTAAGATCATTTGCTATCCATAAAATTGCCTTCTTCAATCAACACAGATAACATAAATATTGAACTTATAGCTACAATATGCATTGGTTTCATATGACAACACCAAAAAGTTGTTCAAGGATTTTTGAGAACATAGGGCTATTCAGAGTTTGAGTATTAATCGTATAACTTTATCTCTCACCTCAGGATCACTGTGCTCTGCTAATTCTTGGAGTTTCTGACCAAACTCTTTTGCTTCCTGGAATATGGAAATAAGTTCAGATTTAGTGAATTCTTCCTTGGTAAATAGCTTCACCTTCTTTTTGAATTGGAAATTTATATTCTCAAATATTTCAATGATGTTAAGAATATTGGCCTTTGACTCATTCTTGTTAAAGGGCGCAACCAATGATGACAGTACTTTGGCACTGATCAGTTCTCTTGTATTGGCTTGATTTTTAGACAAGCGTGAAAACACTTTTAAAACATAAAACTTGGTTTTGACACTTCCCTTGTTTAACAAGGTGAGAAAATCTGGAATGTAACTGGCAATCAAATGGTGGTCCTCAAATTTCACACTCAGATGCACTAATAATTTTAGTCCAGCCAGTTGCACAGGGGAGTTCAATGGATAAGAGATTATGTCCTTACAAACTTGATGTATGTATGACTTTCCTGTATTTGCTTCTTCCGAAGACTCAGAGTTGTCATCCACCATATTTAAAGCTCTAGGGTGTTCTTTAACATTGGGATTATTGACCAAGTTTTCAATCATAACAGTAATACCTACATCATGAATTATATCTTGGGTAAATGGATAAGCAGGACTGATGCCCATTATCATTGTAGCTATTTCATGAATGAAAGGATCCTTAGTTAACTTAAGTAGGGCAACAAGTTTATCAAACTCTTTAGGCTCTAAACTAAAGACACGTGATTTGCAGCGGCAGGCTCTTGGATTGGGCCCATACTTTTCCCTATACCTAATCTGTTTTTTGATCTCAGCTAAGGTCTGGAAGTAAGGCCCATTATAGGGTGGGATCTTAGTCAGAGGCCGAATCCCCAGAGGAGTTTCAATCAAAGTCTCAACCAGAGTCCAATTTCCTTCTGGAGGCAAGGATCGCTCCCCTCCCTCTATTGGGACCAGGACACTATACCTGGCTCTTGACCATGCTGCAGCTTTTTGCTTTATAGTAAGTTCGGGTTTGGGTGTGGGCTTGGGCTTTTCCTGGATCTTAGGTAGAGGCTTATAAACTTGAGAAGGGGTCTCTTCTTCAGGCCAGAACCAGGATCCTACACTAGCCTCTTCTCCACTCCAGAACCAGGAGCAGACATTTCCTTCATCCTCATCACTGGACTCGATTATAATATCAGTTCTGTCCCCAGCCCTGAACTTGACGCTGGCGTCTCTCCTTCTCTGGGGCCTGGATGCATTATTGGTCTTATCATCAGCTTTGGCAAAGGACCTGATATTGGCTTCACTTCCAGCACCAGCCTTGACTTCACACTTGGTTACAGCACTGGACACAGGCATGGCCTTTGACTTGGTTTGGGGCACTATACCAGGTTCTGCCAGAGGTTTTGCCTTAGTCTCAGCCATGACTCTAGTCTTAGTCATAGCTTCCATCTTGCTCACTTCCTTTGTCATAGTCACAGCCTCAGTGTATGTCACTGTCTGTGTCCTGGCCACTGCTCCATCCTCAGCCTTGGCCTGGGTCACTGGTCGTGTTTTCGGTTCTGCCTCAGCCACTGCCTTGGCCTGGATCTTAGCCTTGGCTCTAGTGTTGGCAGGGCCACTGATTCTAGCTTTCATACCAGCCCCAGTCCCTCCTCTGCCACTGCCATAGCCTCAGAGCCAGTCGTGATCCAAGTTAAAGGTAAGTTATGTACCCCTACCCCCGTCTCAGCCTTGACTGAAGGTCTGTCCCAGGTTGATGTTTTCATACAAAGTCCAGTAGCCACTCAGCCCTCTTTTCAACTATAGACTCTGCCAATAATATAAACAATGTGCAGAGGAAGCTCACTCAGGGAAGGGAAAAATCACTGTGGGCCTGAGTGCAGCCCTGTGGAGGGTGGTGGTCTTCAGCCACTCCAAGGCCACCAGATCTGCCACTGAAGTTGAACCTAGGGGTAGAGAAAGAAAATGGGGCTGAGTCTTTTCCAATGTTTTTCTCATGTTGATGAGCACAGAGAGACAAGAGAGTGTGGAAATTCAGTGCTAAGTGGGAAAGGCAGATAATTAGCAAACTGTCTCTCCCTTCATTTCAGCTCCCTACAACTGCAGGTACTACTAATCTTTTTTCCAGACATAAAATAGGAATATGGAGGGGAAAAGCTGAATGGGAATGAGAGACTAAGGAATCCTTCAACTGGCTCTTGACTGCTGCTGGACCCAAGTAGATTTCCACTAACTCATTCTACGGTCTACCGAGGAAGTTTCCACACTCATTCATACCAACCTGAACTAATCTGGAGTAATTTTCTCCTCCTTTCCTTGCTCCCAATGACAAGCCCTACAGCAACCTACAGGCAGATCTATGGACAAATAAACAAACAGGAGGATATGGAAACTGATCTCTTGGTAGACAGACCTTCGTCCCTGGTCCCTATATTTGTAGTTTGTCTAGTGTTTCCCTCCTTCTGGTAGCTTTGCCCCATTGCCCTGCTTCAAGGCTGCTCCTCCTCCTCTCTGTTGTCCACCATTTTCCTCTTCAGTGACTGCCTTGGCATTTGCTTAATTCGGAATTGGGCTGGGGTGAAGCATAAGAATAGGAAAAGCAAGTAAGAAAAGCAGGTGTTACCCTTCTATACCCCTGAAGCTTACAAAGACTCCAAACTAAATCAGCAGGGGATCAAACAGGGGTTAATAAACTGGCAAAAAAGGACATAGAATTCTCTAGTCTCAATTATCCCCTGTCCCTCCACCATCACACCAAACTTAGACACAGGGCACTTTTCTGTTCTTCATTATTTCCTAGCTTCAAATTGGGTTACCATTTACAAACCTTCACAACATCTGAGAGTTCCACAGACCTAGGGAAAGATCTACACACAGAGATTTACAAACACAGAGATAAACAAATAAATAGAGACATAGGAGACAATGGAAACTGTCCTTGGTGGAGATGAGCACCTAGGACACCGATCCTTTCTAGATACAGGTACCTTTTTGCCAAAATTTTCTACCTCCCTTTTTTCCTCCCCCTCCCCCCAAATCTCCAAGGTCCTCTGCTTCATTCCCAAAGTCTGACAATTCCTCTGCAGAGACAACTCAAATATCCCTGCAAGATAGTGGTGGTGTTAGTAATGAGGGAACGCTCAGACAAGCCATGGAAGTTGGCTGGAAATCAATAAAAAGTATTATTTCCAAATTTCCTCTAATTTCTTATGTTTCCTTCCTCTCGCTAAAGCCTATCATTCTCTGCAACACAATGGGAGTAAGGAAGGACTGTCTGGAAAGATGGCAGAATGGAGATCTGGAGTTTCCCCTAGACCCTTACCTGCTCTAATCTTAGCCATCTACCACCTCCAAGCACTGCCCACTCTACAGAAATTAGGCTAACTTCCTTTTTCTTATCCCCTCCCTTTGAGGTCCGCTGCCTCCTACAGATCTTTACAGAAAGGTGGAGTACCGCAAATTTGGGAAGAGAACAGACCTATACAAATTAACGCATGATACACACCCAAAAGACCAAATGAAAAGACAGTGGGAGAGACCTGGTTATTAACGGTCAGACTAGTAACCAGGACGAGACCCTTTTCTAATCCACGGCCTTGATTATCAAACACTTACAACCTCTTTTTACACTCTCTCCCTCCCGGACCTCTCCAGACAACTGTTCTCACGGAGAGCAGCAGCCCCTCCTCCTATTATATAATCCGCCATTTCTCCGCTAGAAGCCGCTACTATACTCCTTTCCCTTCCCAAACATGGTCGGAGGTGGGGCGAGTGCCCGGAAATCAAGCTAGCAAGAGGCAGATCATTTTACATTTATCATTGTGTACCACTTAAATAGCCCCCGTCCCTCTCTCCCTCTCACCGTCCGCACCCCACGACCAGGTCATGTACCCACGTTCATCTCTGATACCCATATCCACACTCCCAAGCGATGCCCGCCTTCTCACTGACCTGCTCTGCTTGGATCACAGGCAGTTTTCTCATTTCCTCGCCTCAAGGGGTGCCGTGCCCTACAGAAAGAGGGACAGACAGTCAGATGGGCAGAAGGACACGAGACAATGGCGGCGACTGTTTGGGGATTGGCTCGGCACCTGAGATTTAGGACGAGATACCCGCTTTATCAGGTTAAGGGCCGTAATTGGCGAACAACTGTCACTTTTTGGTATTCCCTTCTCCTTTCCGTTCCCAGGGCTCCTCAGGGATCCGCTCCTGGCGACTAATGAAAAGCTACCTTTTCCTCCGCAGACTTTGCCTTGCCACGTCCCCAATACCAAAATCAACAGCGGGAGGAGCTAGAGTGTAGTTTAAGGGGATCCGACCTAATAGAAGCGGAGTGATACTGCACTTTGCATAGCACCTCTTCTCCCTCCGTCATTGAACTCCGTTCCGCCCCCCCCCCCCCAGGCGGTTTCTAGTTTACAGAAACGGGCAGGGGCGGGATCGGGATATAGAGAAAGCAGCGCTGGATGGAGAAAAGCAGACTAATATCAAAGGTATTGGTTCCCCTCTTTTAGGAGCTCCCCCACCAAGCCTACAATTTTTTTCCCTGAAGTGTATACGAGCTTCGGGCGGTGGCGTCAGTGAATCGGCTCCAGCCTGGCTAGGCGGACGGATACCAAAGTGTATTTACACACTCCTCCCTTCGAGCTTTAGGCCCACCGTAATGGTCGGGTTGGGGGAAGGGACCGCGGTAAGAAGGACGGGAAAGAGGTTCAAGACTCAAGAGAGCAGGATAAATTCTGATCTATCCGAAAAATTATGTGTCCTCTCTGAGAGAAGCCCCTCCAAGCGGCCCTTCCAAGCACCCAGTTTTCTACACGAAACGGGCAGGGTCGGGGCGGGGCATCTGGAAAGCTGCTCTGGTCTGACTTGCTGCGTAAATATCAAACACCATAGTATCTTCTTGTTCCTCTCCTCGAAGTCTCTCGCCCTTATTGTCTGCCATATTTGTTGCAGTGAAATAGTCGAAGGTAAAGTGGGATAAGGATATAGGGAAAGCAGAGATGGATGGAAAGAAGTATATTAATTCCAAACTACCCCTATGTGTACGTGTCCCTTTCTTATGCCCTGCCTCCCCTCCTGATTCCCACGATATTTTCCTAACGTAAATATGCAGAAGCCTGACCGTGGGCATGAGGAAAACAACTCTGTACTCATGGAAGAGGATTAATACTCAAATGTCTTTGCATCTGTGAACCACCTCCCTCCCTCCCCGCACCACCGCCTAAAATGGAGGATGAAGAGGAACAGAGTTAGGAAAGCATCTCTAAAGTGAGAACGGATTAAACGCCAAACTATACTGTTGTGGGCCCCTTCTAGGCCTGACCCAGCATATTTCATGCACGAAAAGTCAGGTGGGGTAGAGGAGGTGTCAGGAAAGCAGGCTGGGAGAGGAAAGGCGATTTAAGGCCAGACTGCCCTGGAGGGTCTGTCTTGGCTGCAGAGGGGAGAAAGGTGGGAGGGGGCGCCTATGGAGGCTTCACCACTGCCCGTCTTCCAGAGTAAGGCAGACCTGGACGTCTAACCCGAGCGAACAAACCACTGGTCTGCCCCCAGAGTCATTCTTTCTGCCACATCATCTGCTTTCTTTCTCATTCGAAATGGTAACACACTTGACAATTTCCTGGTCCCCACAGTTGCCCAAGAAAGAGGCCTTTCACTGTCAGGACCCACACCGGGTCATACGGACCCTCTTTCTCTGTTGCCCCACAGCCAAGTGTCAGGCACCAGGTAGGGCTGGTCCTGGCTCCTCTTTCACTGTTCTCTCTAAGGAAAAGGAACGCTATCCCTGCACTTCTCAAGGCAGATCCTAGTTGCTCTCCTGACTCCTTCTTTTCTCTCACCACTACATTCTGCCTAATGAATGCATATGCTCTTTCTCCCTGAATATATAAAATTTTTTGACTTTCTATTGAAAGCAGTGGTAGAAGGGAGTTTGCATTACACTGTAAGTTCCATGCAGGAAGGGCCTCTTTCTCAGTCTTGTTCACCACTGTGTCCTCAGTGCCACACATAGAAGACAAAGTAGTCAATAGTTGAAAGATGAGGGGCCATTGAATTATGAGAATACCATGATACCTTCTATTGGTTGCAGATCAATGCCTGTCTATATGTGTGTCTTTGTCTTTGATGTCTGTAACCCTAGGGCTTAGTCTAGCGTCTTCCACACAGGAGATGCTCTCTATATAATTTTTCAATAGAGAAAGGAAGCAAGGATTTTTAAAAATATGTTTTGGAAAGAAACCTAGGGTGTCTTAATATCTCCTATTGTAATGAACATTTTGGGAGATACTTGTAATTTGGATTTGATATTAGTGATTTGTTTGTTGTTCTTTTTCTGCCTTCTCTTCATGCTTAAAACTGTGCTCCTTTATATATAGCAAATATATAGCAAATGCTTATGAATTCGTAAAGAAAAGACCAATGACTGACAATCCAATAGAAAAATAGGCAAATATATGAACAGATTATTCATAAGACAAATTAGTGTTTCTTAAATATATCAGAAAGTGTTTCGTCTCACTGATAATAAAGAAGTAGAAATTATAATTACAATGATATATTGTTTTTCCTCTGTCATATTGGCAAAGAACAAAAAGTTTGAAAACAAATTGTATTGGAGAAGGAGTGGGAAAACTGGCATTCTTACACATTACTAGTGGGAGCATAAATTGTTACACCCTCTGTGAAGGTTATTTGGCAATATTTATCAAAATACAAATGCACATGGCCATTGACCAGCAATTGTATTTTAAGTATCTATACTAAAGTAATATTTGTACATTGCAAAATGCTGTGTGTACAAGGATTTTCACTGCAGATTTGTTTTTAATAGTAAAAGATTGGAAAGATTCTAAATACTCATCGATAGGGGTGGGTTAAATAAAGTATGGTGTCTCTCCATGCAATATGCAGCTGTTAAAAAGAAAGAGCAGCCCTATCTATATATACTGATATAGAATGATCTCCAAAACACATTTTTAAGTGAAGAAAACAAGGTGCAGAACAATTTTTAGTGTGCTATCATTTGTTTAATAATACTTTATTACATATATGTATATAGCAAATATCTTTGTTAATATCAACAGATAACTGGTAATAGGGCTTACCTTTTTTGGAGAGTAACCTATTGGCAGACAGTCAAAGATGGGAAGGAGACTTAGACTTACTTGTATGAACTTTGGTGTTTTTTGAATTTTGAACCTCATGTTTGTATTAACTATTCAAAAATAAATTTTAATTTAGATAAAATATGCTTTGGAATCAGAGGATATTTAAAATATTTACACCACATCTTCTTAAAAATGGTCCAACTCCTCAGGCCTAGACACCTGGCCTCTAAGCCGGCCCACTGTGGTAGTAAAAGACAGCGAGAGAGGCCCTTTTGTTGGTTTTGGAGTGTTTACAATTCTGCAATGGCATTAATGAGGGTAGGTGGCTTACCCTCCAGATTTGAAGAACAAGCTTCCAAGAGTTCCTTAACACACATTTCTCCTGTGTGATTCACCATCCAGTTTACTAGGTAAGTCCACAATAAATGCTGTACTCCTACTACTACTGCCGTTAAAGATAATCCATTCAGGAGACTGTATTTGAATCCATATGGAAGTGTGATGTGAAACAGCACTATTGATACTCATAAAACACCCAAAGAGTAGAAAGGGTAGCCATTGAAAATAACGATTATGGGAGATATGCTTTCTATTTCGTAGGCATCTTTATTGTTTTGGGAGCAGGCCCAGATTTAGGTCCTTCTGTTGGAGGAAACAGAACAGTGAGATAGTTCTCGTGATCATGCTCTTAACTGAATTCATATGGTGCTTTAAAAATGTTCCTTGTTCTGAAAATGATTCAGCTTCTTTTCTATTGCAATTTTTTCTATTGAAATTGCTGGGAATGTCTATTTTCCCCATCCTTGAACTTATTTTTTAGTACCTAATATTCACAGCAGAATACACACACACACACATCTTCACTATATATATTTTTTTCCACAAAATACATATTTTCGCAAAAAAATCTTCACCAAAATATTTCATAAGTTGCATACATAACAGTTGTAATCAGTTATCTTTCCATCAGCATAAAACACGCTTTTATTTCTTCCATTTGAAGAGCACACTGTCTTGACCCCGCCTCCCCCAAAAGCTTCTGCCCTTGCCATTTCATGCTTCAATGATTTTTCTATTTGTTTATTTATAGTATTTTGCGATTTGGTTTTTTTAAAAAAAGGGAAGATTTTAGTGACATAGGGAAAATTCTCAGGAAACGATACCAAGTGAAAAAATATATTCTCTAAAACAATTTTATCCAGAATATAAAAGTTATGTAAAGAAAGAGTATGTGCAAAGAAAAGCAAAAATCAGTAATAGTGATTGCGCTTATGATTTGGATTATCTGAGGTTTTTTCACTATAGTTTTATACTCTTCTGTATTTTCCACATTTCTATGGCAAGTATATTATATTCATGAAAAATTCAGAATTATTTTTTAAAGGACCCCACTGTGGATTTTTAAAAATTTTAGTAAAATACAGACAGCATAAAATTTACCATTCCAAAGTGTAGAATTCAGTGGCAATAAGTACATCCACCATGTTGTACAACCGTTATCGTTATATAGTTTCAGAAATTATTCAGAAACCTCATACTCTTAAGCATTCACTCTCATTCCCCCTCCACCCAGCCCCTGGCAAACACCAATCTGCTTTCTGTCGCTGTGATTTACCTATTCTGGATATTTCATGTAAATGACTTTTCTCATTTAGCAAAATGTTTTCAAGGTTCATACATGTTTTAGCTATTTTTTATTGTGGACAAAGTTACATAACATAAAATTCACTTTTTTAACCATTTTAAAGTGTACAATTCAGTGGCATTCAGTACAATCAAATTTTGTACAACTGTCACCACTGTCTAGTTCCAGACCATTTTCATCATCCCCAAAGGAGATCCCATATCTACTAAGCAGTCATGCCTCATTTCTCCCTTGCCCCAGCCCCTGGCAAATACTAATCTACTTTCTATATCTATGGATTTTCATATAAATGAAATCTTACAATATGTGGTCTTTTGTGACTTCTTTCCCTCAGCATGTTTTCAAGGTTCATACATGTTGTAGCATGTATCAGTACTTCATTCCTTTTTATGGCTAAATAATATTCCACTGCATGTATATACCATATTTTGTTTATCCATTCATCTGTCAATGGACATTTCGGTTGTTTATACCTTTTGGCTGTTGTGAATAGTTGCAGTGAACATTGGTGTACAGATCTGAGTCCTTGCTTTCAGTTCTTTTGGGCGTATACCTAG